TGATTCTATTATCCATGAACACAATGATTCTCTCCACTTACTTACATCTTATTTTAACTTCAGCAAAATTTTGTACTTTTCAGTATACAGACAGGTCTTATAAATGTATCCCTAAGCATTTCATATTTTTGAAGCTATTAAACACAGTGTTGTTTTTAAACTTCGATTTCCAACTGTTCATTGCTAGTAGACGGAGCCACAACTGATTTTGAACTTCTGTATTGAACTTATCAACCTTGCTAAATGCACTAACAGAACTTACAGCATTTTTGTAAATTCTTTAACATTTTCCACAGAAATGATGTCTGTCTGAAATAGGTTTTTGTTTCTTCCTTATTGCATTGGCTAGAACAGTGTGGAACAGAGGTGAGTAGTGAGCATTTCCTTGTTCGCAATCAGTAGGAGAAAGCTTCCTTCCATTCCTTCGCCAAGGGGTACGGTATCAGCTAACGGTTTTGGGTGAATGCCCTTCATAAGCTGGATAAAATGTCCTTCTATTCTTAGATGCAGAAAGTTTCTATCATAAAAAGGATGCTAGATGTTGGCAAATATTTACTCTGTATACACTGAGATGATCATCTGGTTTTTGTGTATTGTCCACATAATGAACTACACTGATGACTTTCCAAACGTGAGATCAACTTTGTATACTTCTGGGATAAACTCATTTGGTTAGGATGTAATACTCTTTTACATGCTGTTGGATTTCATTTGCTAACTTTCTAAATCTGCTCACCTTTTTAAAAGAATTTTTGCATCTAAGGTTCATGAGTGATACTGGTCTGTAGTTTCCATTGTGTGGTTTTGATACTGGGGAATGCTAGCCTCATACAATGTGTTGAGAAGTATTCCCCTCCTCTTCAGGTAGAATTGCTATTAATTCTTCGGTTACGTGCTTGGGCCTGGAGCTTTCTTTGTGGTAAGGTTTTTAAGTACAAATTTAATTTCTTTAGTAAAAAGAGGGCTATTCTAATTGCTCTTCAGGAACTTTTGATAGTTCATGGCTTCTAAAGTTTGCCCATTTCTTCTGAATTGTCAAATTTACTGCCAGAAAGTTGTTCACCTATTCTCCTGACACCCGCTTACCACATCTAAGAACTGCAGTGCTATGTTAGATCTCCCGCCGGCTTCCTTTTGCCTACATTGTGGCCTGGAAGCTCTCCCTGAAGTAAGCTGAGGGAGCCACAGGGCTCACCTCGCACTGTTCCTTCTCCCCAAAATCACTGTCCTGTGCTGCCTGTTATCCAGTGTCTGCACATCACTGTTTCATATATTTGGTCCTATCTTTTAGTGGTTTAAAGTGACTGGGTACATTTGGCCCCTGCTATTTCATCATGGCCAAGAATGGAGGCTTTTTGGTTTTTATTGTGGAAAATTTCAACAATGTACGAAAGCAGAGAGAACAGTATAATGAACCTTCATGTACCTATCGTCCAGCTTCAACAATTATCAACCCGTGACCAAGACTGTGTCATCCATGCTCCCTTCCTAAACAGCCCCCTTTCTGGAAGATTTTGAAGGAATTCCAACATTCTATTTCCTTCATATGCCTTTCTTAGAAAAAAAAAATTTTGCAATTGCTTTGTTCAAATCAAGATCTAAATTATGTCCACACATTGTATTTGGTTAATGTTTTAAAATACTTTTTAACTTCTAGGTTCTCTATCTCCTTTTTCCTTTTTTTCTTAGATACTGCACTATCCAGTAAAGAAGGAACAAGTCCAATGCAGCCATTAAGCATTTAAAATGTGACTAGTGTGACTGAGAAACTAAATTTTTAGTTTAACTTAAAAACAAATACTCCAGCTATGAGAAAATGTTTAGTTAGAACAACTTGAGTATATACATTTACTTTTTTAACTATAAACTTCTTTTGAGGGGAGGGGAGAGGCAGAAGGAGAGAGCGAGACAGACAAAGAGAGAATCCAGCAGGCTCCACGCTCCACACGGAGCCCAAAGCAGGGCTGGACCCCACTACCCTGGGATCATGACCTGAGCCGTAATCAAGAGTCAGATGCTCAACCGACTGAGTAACCCAAGTGCCCTTCAACTGTAACTTTTATAAAATCAAAATACGATCAAATATTTCTGATGACAATTTATCATCTAAATTGAGATGTGAGTATTAAATGGATTATTCTGAAGACTAAACTGGTAGTTTTAGGGCGGTGGTTCTGAAATGGGAGCCATTTTGTTCCCCAGGGTACATCTGGGCAATGTCTGGAGACACATTTGGTTGTCACAATGGAGTGGGGAGGGGTACACTACTGGCATCTAGAAAGTAAAGGCCAGGGATACTGGGTTTAAATTTCAACATCCTACAATGCACAGCACAGCTCCCACAGTAAGAATTTTCCAGTATAAAATGTTGACCGTGATGATGTGAACACACCCTGTTCCAGACGCCTAATCAGAGTGGAATTTTTTCATAAAATAATTTCATATTATGTCTTTTCATTGGCACATACATAAATATCTGGGTATTTTTCTGTGATGTCAGCAGCTAATGTGAGCCACCGATTCATAAGCAGCTGCAAGGGGGATATTCTAATACTATCATTCCTTCTGCATTTATTTTCTGAAATGCTTCTGTAAAGAGGCACTTCTACTTGTTTAATCAAGATAGTAGTTCACACAGGGGCACCTGGGTGGCTCGGTAGGTTGAGTGTCCAATTCTTGATTTTGGCTTAGGTCATGGGACTGAGCTCAGAGTTGGGCTCCAAGCTGTGCGTGGAGTCTGCTTGGGATTCTCTCTCCCTGACTTGTGCTCTCTCTCCCTCTCTCAAAAAAAAAAAAAAAAAAAAAAAAAAAAAAAAAAAAAAAAAAAAAAAAAAAAAAAAAATCACCTAGGAAGTTCTGGATAAATGCTTGATTTTTTCTTTGCCATTTTTCAAAATAATGAGCTAGTTCTCCAGTATCCTCCAAAGGTGACCAATATTAAGTATCATTATGATTTCATAAATTTAGATATTTTTGAGCCTTTGTGATTTAAAAAAAATTCCTTGGGCTCTTCGTCTTCCTTTTTAAACCTTTATGAATCCCTTTCTTTTTTATGTCATATTTATTTTCATGTCATATATGTATATATATAAAATATCTTCAGTGACATGATCTGTTCTATTATCTCCTTCCCCTTTTCTATCTTTTGGTATTTAGGAAAGTTTACACAAATACCTTATATAATACCCTTATGTCCTTTATATCTTTTTTAGAATACTGTCTGTTGGTTCCCACTGTAAGTAATACTGAAATTCTCCCTTACTTCCATCTCCCAAAGTACCCACTTTGAAGTAATATCCTTTTATTTCCTTACGATTCCTATAGGACAATCAGGAAGTATATTCTATTTTACTTCTATTGTCTCCCTTCCCCCATTTTAGTGTTGTGTGTTACCTACCCTGTCTGCCTTATAACCATATAAATACCAATTCTGTGGTCTTCCTAGTCTATCACTTCTCAGTAGAAGTACTGAGTACTCAGTAGAAGTATAGGTCTACTTCTCAGTAAGCAGCGTGCTTCTGCACAGCAGTCTAGGCTAATTTGAGAGTTCGCCAAGCCTGGACCTCCACAGCACCATCGACCTTCCTAGAGTCGACAGTCGCCTTCAGCGGTTTTCAAACTGATCTGCAGAGCTTTCCACACCTAGTGGGGCCTCTTTCCTTTAGAAAGGAGAACCTGCTGGTGACCTCATTTTTGGCTTCTCTGAGCTTTCCCTCTGCTTAGCACATACTTCCTGATACCACGCTAGCTTGCTGCTGACTTAATCTTACCTGCTGATATTCTGGAGTTCGCAGGTGTTGTGTAAGAAAGAATCAGGCCTTACTCCCTGGTTCTTGGGAAGGAGACTGTAAAGCCCTAGGAATTTTCTGAGTGATAGGAATGTCTTTGTTATTCACGAGGAGCTACACTTCTCCTTCAATCACACCTACACTCAGGCTTAGGAGATGACTCAAGATGGGGATAGGCAATGCCAGAAGGACAAATCCTGTGGTTAGAGGGTTGGGGTTCTGAGTCCTACGACTGTCTTACCTTTTTTTTTTTTTTAAGTTTATTTATTTATTTTGAGAGAGAGAGTGCAAGTGGGGGACGGGCACACAGAGGGGGACAGAAGACCCAAAGTGGGTTCCATGCTGACAGCAGAGAGCCTGATATGGGGCTCAAACCCACAAAGTGTGAGATCATGCCCTGAGCTAAAGTCAGAAGCTCAACCAGCGAAGCCACCCAGGCACCCCCAGACTTATTCTTGAGCCTTCCGGGGAAAGGGGCTAGAAACTGAAGTTGAGTCTTGCTGGAGACCGTGCCCTTACCTTGTCCAGTCGGACGCTAACTCTGGGCGGGTGGTGGGAGAGTGTACTGTGGACCAGCAACAGGGATACTCTGAAACTTAGTTTTGCTCTATACGCTGTCCATGGGCTTGTGGCTGCTATCCTAGCTGCTCTTCTATTTTCTGGAAAAGGATTCCGAAGACTCAAAAGACGATGCCACTGTCACCATCATTTTGTTGCCAGTTCTTCTTGGGGATTTTCATGACCTTAGTGCATCACATTTCACCCTCTGCACGCTATTTTAATATTTATCATTTCACAGAATGATATTAACAGAAGATTAAATCACCAAAACTGTACACTAAGGCCACTCTCAGTGTTGATTATAACTCACCTGCAGTTGACTTTATGAGACGTACAAACCGTAATAAAAGCTACTAGTGGCTACGTGGTGACAGAATGACTGAAGTTTTTATGGGTTAAGGGAACAGATAGGAGACTTTGCCTGTCAAGTGACTAAGATGCTCTCACTTCTCACATTACCACACCTCCTCCAATCAATAACGTAAGATGCATCGTACAGTGTTTCACACAGGGCTTCCTCATCAGCAGAATGCATTAAATTTGTAAATTAGAGAGCATAGAACAAAATGCATATTTCAAATGATGATACAGGTTTTCAAACTGGTCTGAGGCTGGCACCCCATAATCAAAAACTAAAAGCAAAAATTGTACCTCTGTGAGACGGAGCTGTGATGAAGCAGCCATGTAATCTGATTCTAATTTGTTCTTCTCAGAGATCACTGTAGTATTTTGAAGAATTAAATCAACTTTTTGTATATGCAAAGAAGTACAAATCTAGGAACAAAAACCCCTGAAAGTTTAATTTGTTTTTCAACTAAGGAAAAAAAATAGTTTTTAAAAAATTACAAACCAGGAGAAAAATAACATTTTTCTAATCTGATACCTCAAAGAGTTCTTTTTACAACTATTTCTTACAAGAGACTTTTAAAATATCTTTCTCTGGATTTAATTGAATCATCTGGAATAAAATAATTTAGCTTAATGAGTGCTTTTAACCAAATTATTGACCTATAATGAGAAATATCAAGCAAAGTTAAAACTGTCGATGGTAAAATCTTAGCAAGAGTTTTTTTAATCTATGTACTTATCTACCTGCCATAATAAAGTGACCAAAATTAAGAAAATGCCTTACCTTTACAAAGTTTGTTAATTCAGTAACAAGTTTTGCTTTTTGAACATTGATTTCCTTGATTTTGGTACTTGCTTTTCGCTCTTCCTCCTCAAGGTTGCAAGTATCCTGTTCCATCAGCTTTAAACTATATGAAACACATAATCGTGTAGAAATCGGAGTTAACACAAGGACTGCGCCCAGGTCTCCTGCCGTTTCATGGGCTTTTTAGCAAAGCTACTCAGACATAAACTACTGGCTTCTGGACTAAACAATCATGTGACCATGCAGGATCAAAATGTATCTGTTGAGATACTATGTGCCCAGCACAGTTTAAGTAATGATGCCATAATGGTGTAGGACCTAGGGTCAAAAAGATGGATCTGAATCTCCTTTTGCCAATAATGAGCAGTGAAGGTAAAATATGCAACACACTTAGTATACTGCCTGGCCCTGAACTGATTGATAAATATTATTTACTACTGTTGTTATTAATGTTGTTTACACACAATCACTCACCTTAAGGAGCTTAACTGGGAGATTTGATTAACAGATTCAAAATATATAGTAAAAGGGTAATACAACAATCCTAAAAATTAATACTTTGTTATCTGAGATGAAACTAAGGATCAGAAATTAATTAAGTTACATAAGATCATGTATAGTACGTGGTAAGAGGTGTCTGACACCAAAGTCCAAGTACTTTCTACTCCGCCGCGTTGCCTCCAGGGCAAAAGTAAGGTAAAGGCAAGAACACACTTTGGAAGCAATAATAAACAAGGATGAACAAGTTCAGCAGATGTGGCAGAGAGGGGCTTCAACAGAACATGGAAGAGAGTGTGGAGGAGGCTAGGGAGCTGAGGTGAAATAGGTCAAGTGAAAGGAGACTGGGAAAATTTGAAAGTCAATCTAAAGGAAAGGAGTGTTGTAACTATAGGTGGCGGGGTGATGGGTATGAAAGGCCATTTCACTACAAAAAACAACATTATACAGAGAAAGTTGAGTTTTAGACCATGGGTCCGACAGAACGGTCAAACAGAAAAGGTTAAGTGTCTTATAGATGATTAAAGATAGAAATGATGCCAAAGGTGAAGGCTGAAAAGAGGCGTAGAGATGAAAAACCTGGGCAGCCAGACTAAATAATATCTTGCTTTAAGCAACCAAGGTACATTATTTGTCCAGTAATAGTTAATGGACAATTGTTTACTTAAAAAAAATTCTCTTAATGCATTTCATATATGATTCAATTTACAAATGTATTTAAAACCACATACTATATTAGGTCAAGGTAAACAGATAACTAAAGGCAACGAATGGTCACTTACTATCAAAGATTGACTATGTCAGTCATATCTAAATCTTTACAGAGAAAGTCATAAAAGAATAATCACAAAAAGGTCTGAGGCAGGACATGGGGAACACCTTTAAACTGGAAGCCATGTTCCTTTCCCCTAGAAAGAACCCCCAATAGCTTTTATACCCCCTTCTATATTCCACTTTCTATAAAATATCCAAATACAAAACAAAATATATAGTCAGTTCTGAGAACGGTTGCAGGGACATTCACAGTAAGCTGGCAGTTATCTTTTAGGAAAAGACTTGTGAAGACTATTCACATCTTTTTATAGGATTCTGTGGAATCTGTGTCCATTAAGGCCAAGCAAACGTAATTCTACTTGTAATAAGGGAGATTACAATTGAAGGAGATACACGCCCCAGTTGCCCATCCTCTTCTGTGAAAATCAGCATATTCTCCTCCTTGCCTATTACCACTTTCAGAATCGGTGAGAAGGCGCATAGCCTAATAGCTTGGATTGATAATCTCCCTGCCTGTACCTTCCTCTCTCCTCTCCCACCAATCCAAATTCAATGGATACAAGTCTAGGTCAGTGGTTCTCAAAGCGTGGTTCAGAGACCTCTGGGGATCCCTGAAACCATTTCAGGCGAATCATGAACCATTTTCACTGTTGTAAGATGATCTCAGTTGCCCTTTTCACTGTAGTAATATTTGTACTGATGGCACACCAGCAGTGCTGAATAAAAATGCAAGCACTCTAGAATGAATCTGGGTAGTAGCCCCACAGTGTACTTATAGTTAATAGATATTTTAAAATGTCAAATTCATATTCTTGATGACAGTAAAAATTAATTTTATTAAATCGTGTATTTTGAGTATGTTATTTTTTTACTTCAAGTATAATTGACCTAACGTTGTATTAGTTTCCAGTGTACAATGTAATGATTTGATATTTGTATACATTGCAAAATGATCACCACAAAAATCTTGTCAACGTTTGTCACCATAGTTGTAAGTTTTCTTTCTAGTAATGAACACTTTTAAGATCTACTCTCTCAGCCACTTTCAAATATGCAATACAGTATCATTACCCGTAGTCACATGCCATACATTACATTCCCATGAGTTTTTATAACTGCAGGTGTGTACCTCTTGATGACCTTTACCCAAGTAATCAGCCCCCCAACACTCCTCTCTCTGGCAACCACCAATCCCCTTTCTGTTATCTATGCATTGTTTTGTTTGTTCATTTGTTTTTTCAACTACAGGGCAATCAAATGGTATTTGTCTTTCTGACTTATTTCACTTAGCATAATACCCTCAAGTTCCACTTCTGTTGTCACAAAAGATTTCATTCTCTTATTTTTTTTAAACGCCCCCCCCCTTTGTTTTAACATTTATTTATTTATTTTTGAGAGACAGAGAAAGAGTGGGAGAGGAGCAGAGAAAGAGAGAGACAAAGAATCCGAAGCAGGTTCCAGGCTCTGAGCTGTCAGCACAGAGCCTGACGTGGGGCTTAAACTCATGGACTGTGAAATCATGGCCTGAGCTGAAGTCAGACGCTGAAACGACTGAGCTACCCAGGTGCCCCAAGATTTCATTCTTTTAATGGCTTAGTAATATTGCAGCGTGTGCACGTCTCTCACATCTTCTTTACTCATTCATCCATCAGTGGACACTTACGTTGCTTCCATGTCTTGGCTTTTGTAAATAATGCTGCAATGACCACAAAAGGTATCTTTTCAAATCCGTGCTTTCATTTCCTTGAATGAACAGCCCGAAGTGGAATTACTGGATCGTATGGTAGTTCTATTTTTAACTCATGTGCCTCTTGGTCATCTGTAGGTCTTTGAAAAAATGTCGATTCAGATCCTCTGCCCATCTGTTATAGATTGGTTTTTTTGCTATTGACTTGAATGAGTTCTTTACAGATTTTAGATATTAAGCCCTTATCCAATATATGATTTGCAAGTATCTTCTCCCATTCCATAGGTTGCTTTCTTGGTGTGTCGATGGTTTCCTTTACCGTGCAGAAGCTTTTTAGTTTGATACAGTCCCATTTGTTTATTTTCGCTTTGTTACCGAGGCCTTTGAAGTTGATTCCAAAATAATTACTGCCAACATCCATCCATGTCAGGAAACTTACCGCCTGTCGTTTTCCAGGAGCTTTATGATTTCTGGTCTTACATTCAAGTCTCTGAACTCATTTTAAGTTGATTTTTCTGCATGGTGTAAGAGAGTGGTCCAGTTTTCCCAGCACCATGTATTGAAGAGACTACCCTTTCCTCATTGTATATTCTTACCTCTTTTGTCACAAATTAATTGACCATAGATACATGGGTTTATTTGTGGGCTCTCTGTTCTGTGGTAATGATCTATGTGTATTTATGTCAATACCCTAACTGTTTTAATATAGCTTTGTGATATAATTTGAAATCAGGGAATGTCATGCCTTCAGGTTTATTTTTTCTTAAGATTGCTTTAGTTATTTGGTATCTTTTATGGTCCCCAAAATTTTTAGGAGTTGTTCGAATTCTGAAAAATGCCACTGGAATTTGGAAATGAATGGCTGAATCTACAGATGGCTATGGGAAATATGGACATTTAAACAATCTTCTGATCCATGAGCACAGAATTACTAATAATAGTAATAATAATTACTAATTATTTATGTCCTATTCAGTTTATTTCCTCAATGTGTTACAGTGTTCACTATACAGGTCTTCTACCTCATTGATCAGAGTTACTCCTTTGCATTTGCTTTTTCATTTTCTTTTGTAAATGGGGCTGTTTTTTTCTTTTTTTTTAATTATTAATGTTTTTTGTTACCTATTTTTGAAAGAGAGACACACTGAGTGGGGAAGGGGCAGAGAGGGAGACACAGAATCTGAAGCAGGCTCCAGGCTCATAGCTGTCAGTATACAGGGCTCGAACCCACCAACCATGAGATCATGACCTGAGGTGAAGTCAAGACGCTTAACCAACTGAGCCACCCAGGTGCCCTGGGACTGTTTTCTTAATTCACCTTTCAGAGTACCTTGTTAGTATATAAAAATACAACAGATTTTTGTATGGTGATTTTGTACCCTGCAACTTTATCGAAGTTGTTGATTAGTTCTACCAGTTTGTTTTGGTACAGAAAGGTTTAGGGTTTTCTATGTAAAATCCTGTCACTCACAAATAGTGACAGTTTTACTTCTTTTGCTTTTTCTCTCTTGCCTAATTGTTCTAGCTAGGCTTGCTTGCTTTTTTTCAAGCAGAGGGACAGATTTTTTTTTTTTTTTTTTTTTTTTTTTTTTTTTTTTTTTTAAGAGAGCACAGGACGGGGAGAGAGGCAGAGAATCTCAAGCAGGCTCCACATTCAGCACAGTGCCCAACAGAGCCCCAACGTGGGGCTCAATCTCAGAGTTCAGTTCAGCACAGAGCCCCAACGTGGGGCTCAATCTCACAACCGTGAGATCATGACCTGAGCTAAAATCAAGAGTCTGATGCTTAACTGACTGAGTTACCCAGGTGCCCCTAGCACTTCTAATACTATGCTGAATAAAAGTGCACAGAGTGGCCTCCTGGCCTTGATCCTGATATTAAAGGAAAAGACTTTAGCTTTTCACTGTTGGAATATGAGGTTAGCTATACACTTGTCATATACAGTCCTTACTATAATTTCTGACACTAACTACTGTTCTATCCTTATCTGGAAAAGGAGAGGAAGAGAGAAAGGGCCTACTGAGTCTTCTAGACTACCTTCATGGCATTATTGTAAGCAAACCAAACACGACAGTGATGTGTCCTCTAACACCTGAAAACAGGCACAGAACCACTAAATTACTAATAATGTTGGTGCCTTTCTG